CTGCCAATGCTTCTCGGGTGTCTTCGGTTATGCAGCACTTGTGGCACCAGCGAATGGGTCATCCCTCTTCTACTGTCCTTGGTCAATTGCCTTTTGTTGAGTCTCGCTCCTTGGTCTCGAATAAAACCTGTGATGTTTGTTGTCGGGCGAAGCAATCTCGTGCTAGCTTTCCTCTTAGTCGTAGTGTGAGCAGTTCCATTTTCAGTCTGATTCATTGCGATGTGTGGGGACCTTATAGAGTTCCCGCCTTTAGTGGTGCTCGATATTTTTTGACTATTGTTGACGACTATTCTCGTGCCACTTGGATTTTCTTATTGGATGATAAATCGTCTGTCTCCTCTACTTTGATGAATTTTTTTGCTCTCATTAAACGGCAGTTTGGCGCCTTGGTTAAAACAATTCGCAGTGATAATGGGACTGAATTCACATGCCTGCGTAATTATTTCCTCCAACAAGGGATTGTTCACGAAACTTCTTGTGTCGGAACACCTCAACAAAACGGGCGTGCTGAGCGCAAGCATCAACATATTCTTAATGTGGCTCGTGCTCTTCGCTTTCAGGCCCATTTACCGATTGAATTCTGGGGTCATTGTGTTCTTGCTGCTGGCTATCTGATTAATAGAACACCTACACCTATTTTATTCGGTAAGACCCCTTATGAGATTTTGTACGGCAAACCTCCTGACTACGCACATTTGAGGGTATTTGGTTGTCTGTGCTACGTACATAATCAGAACAGGGATGGTGACAAATTTGCAAGTCGGAGTCGACGGTGTGTCTTTGTGGGTTATCCAGCTAGTCAAAAGGGTTGGTGCGCATATGACTTAGATAGTCATAGTTTTCTGGTCTCACGTGATGTAGAATTTTGTGAGTCTGAGTTTCCTTATCTGACCTCCCCTGATACTCCCTCTTCACCGGTTGCTACATGGCCTCTGGTATCTGAGGATGATGATGATGTGGTAGCTCCGGTTACGACGGGTACTGCTGCCAATAGGGCTCCAACATCTACTGACGATAGGGGGGGTGTTGGTTTCCCAGAAGAGGTGCTCGGTCGTGGTCATCGGATCAAGCGTCCCTCTTCACGTCTTGCTGATTTCGTCTCTCACACTATTTGTTCGTCCCCTCACTCTGGCTCCTCCATTGCATCCTCGAACTCTGGTACGCCTTATCCTCTTGATCACTATGTTTCTTGTGCTTCTTTTTCTTCAGCACATAAGTCCTTTTTGGCCACCGTCACTTCTAATATTGAGCCTCGGACATTTTCTGAGGCTGTTAAAGACAGTCGTTGGCGATCTGCCATGCAACTGGAGATTCGCGCATTAGAAACCAATCACACTTGGGATGTTGTGTCTCTTCCTACTGGGAAACATGCGATTGGCTGTAAGTGGATCTATAAAATTAAGTATAACTCCGATGGATCTGTTGAGCGCTATAAGGCGCGTTTAGTTGTCTTGGGTAATCGGCAGGTTGAGGGCATTGATTATCAGGAGACGTTTGCACCTGTCGCCAAGATGGTTACAGTGCGAACTTTCCTTGCTGTCGCGGCAGCTCGCCATTGGGAGGTCCATCAGATGGACGTACACAATGCTTTTTTACATGGGGATCTGACTGAGGAAGTCTACATGAGACTTCCTCCGGGCTTTCATTCACCCGAGCCTGGTAAGGTATGTCGGCTACGCAGGTCCCTGTATGGCTTAAAGCAAGCCCCTCGGTGTTGGTTTGCGAAACTTGCTACTGCACTACGACAGTATGGTTTTCAACAGTCCTATTCTGATTACTCCTTGTTCGTCCTTCATCGTGACTCGTTGAGCTTGCATGTTCTGGTATATGTCGATGATCTCATCATTTCTGGGAGCGACCCAACCTCCATTGCTGCATTTAAGGAGTATCTGGGTCGATGTTTTCATATGAAGGATTTAGGTGTGCTGAAGTACTTTCTCGGCATTGAGGTTGCTAGGAATTCTTCGAGCATTTTCTTGTGCCAACGAAAGTACACTCTTGATATTGTGACTGAGACCGGTCTACTTGGTGGAAAACCGGCGGACTTTCCCATGGAACAGAATCACCAGCTTCCCTTAGCAGACGGTCCTCTATTTTCTGACCCCGAGCGTTATCAGCGTCTCATTGGGAGATTGATCTATTTGACAGTTACTCGTCCAGACTTGACCTATGCGGTTCATACTCTGTCTCAATTCATGCAGAAACCTCGTCAGGCCCACTGGGATGCTGCTCTTCGGGTGGTTCGTTATTTGAAGGGTACTCCGGGTCAGGGTATTCTTCTTCGTTCTGATTGTGACTTGCAAATTTATGGTTGGTGTGACTCTGACTGGGCGACTTGTCCCACTACACGTCGGTCTCTCTCGGGCTGGTTTGTACAGCTTGGTCATTCACCTATTTCTTGGCGCACCAAGAAACAGCACACTGTGGCCCGGTCTTCTGCCGAGGCCGAGTATCGAGCCATGGCGACCCTTACTTGTGAGTTGAAGTGGTTGAAGGGTTTACTTCTCAGCCTTGGCGTCGCTCATTCTCAGCCCATGCGGATTCATTGTGACAGTCAAGCAGCACTGCACATTGCTGCTAATCCTGTATTTCATGAGCGCACGAAGCATATTGAAGTCGATTGTCATTTTCTTCGTGATGCTCTTGTTCAAGGTCTCATTTCTGCCGCTCATGTTTCCACTCACTCACAATTGGCGGACATCTTCACCAAGGCCTTGGGAAAACGCGAGTTTGATTTTTTTCTCGGCAAGTTGGGCATCCGGAATCCGCATGCTCCAACTTGAGGGGGGGTGTTAGTGTGATTTTGTGAATATTATATTTTTGGTAGAGATATGTTTTGATATCTTAGAGATTTGGTGTATATTTGTAGGGCTTCTCTTTGTATCTATTTATTCAGTCTTTGTAAACTCTGTTGGATAAGTGGAATGAATCAATTTCGTATATGGTTCTTTGACAGTTCTTCTCCTTTCAGCATTTTTGTTTTTTCACTGTGTTAATTCAACCCACAATTTTTTCATTCCAAAAAATATGTATTAATAAATATTTGGGTTATATGATGTGCTTGCTAAATTGGATACTAATAAGCTTATTTACATCTTCAAGTTAACATTATGAAGAATGAAGCCAACATTTCTCCACCAATATGTTTTCAATGGATTACCAACCTTAGATATACTTTGCTTTTTAAATAACAAGATAGGAAAAGTAACATATTAATGATTCTACGGAGGAAATGCTTCGATGCATTGTTGAGACGTGAGACACATTGTTGATGAAATTAATACAAGACAACATAAACATTACTGTATGCATTTGCCAAAGAATATCTTAATCCAACAAAACCAACTTCACACCCGTCCAATTTAATACTAACAATCAACACTACCAAAAAAAAAAATAATAATAATTTTATTGTCATTGTTGTTGTTATTACTATGCCTCAGACCACAATATTAACGGTATCCGACGTTGGAACCATTAAACAAAAGAGCATGATTAAATTACAAAAGTAAAATGAAAAAAAAATATTGATGAACAATAAATATATAATAAACATGACTTTCTTAATACTGTTTCATATTATATGCAGAAAGAGATAAGGCAGAGAGGCTCAAGAGTTAAAACGAAGAAATAATTTATTAAGCAAACATGAAATTAGTGTGTCATAAAGGACAACCAAAGTCAATTAACCCTTCAAATTTGCTAATAAAAAATGGATAATTTATGTGATGCGTATAACAGAATGTGGTTAGAGCAACCCAATTTCATACTTGTATTCTTAATAATAATGATGCATTATAGTAAAAGCATAATATGTTGGAATTATTGAAGGCACACATCTTCCATAATAAATTTTTTAAATAATTACATATGCAAAATAGCGTCGTGCAAGAATTGAAGCTGCACTTAATTTAAGCTTCCGAGTTATCTAATTCTTGCTACCATACAAAAGAGGTATAGTAGAAGTTTACAAAAAATTACCCAGTAAAAATTGAAACCACTACCTTCGCAGCAACCTGCGAAATCTAGTCTCCTAGACTTGGGATGTTACTGCTTGCATTACACCACCTACCAGTCGAACAAGCACTCGCTGAACCATTTACGTCCGCCTCAGGTAAGTGATGTAGAGTACCTTTAACAAGGTAAACCAAGCAAATAAATGGCAGAATCCATAACTTGAAGGCAGAAGATGAGAGGTAAAACAGCTCAAACACACATACACACACTCACACAAATCAACAAATAGCAAATGAACGCATTAAAATCATTCATTATCGTTTGCAGTAGCGCACATTTACCGGGATAAATATTGGGCATAACCCGAAAAATGTGACGCATTCGTCGAAACCCAGAGTGCATCTTCGATCTAAGCATTGATTCATCGGGCTATCCGAACTTATTGGTGGTTTTCCGGCAAACGTCGAACGTTGCTTTAACGCGGTGGGAATAAACAAAACGTTTCGCCAGCTAATTTACAAAAATTCACCATTTCAGGGGTTTGAGAAGAGATTTAACATGGATCCTAAATAGAAAATGGGTCGACCTGAGGCACCATTGTTGTCTCGGGGGGACACAATAATCAGCACCAATGACCAAGAGCATTGTGCGGGAGCTATATGCGAAACAACGAAAGCTACAATACACCAATGCTTCCAATTGATCGCTATACCTTCAAATATTAAACACAAATAATAGTGAATTAACAAGTACAAATAATATAACCGAGCCCATCCTTTCACCCAAAATCCAAATGAAATTAAAGAAACAAAAAAAGAAAACCAAAAGGCACAAGTTTTTGTGGGATGGTTTTTTATTTTATTTTTAAAAAAGTCCATATAATCTGATTACTCTTTAACCAAATTTTGCTATACTGTGTCCAGAAATCAGATTTTTTTACCAAAATAATTCAACATAGCTGGGCATAGTAAAACAAAAAATCCTCTTTCTTGAATTCCAATGCCTACTTTTTTGTAATTTCAGCATTTACCAAAATAATTCAACATAGCTGGGCATAGTAAAACAAAAAATCCTCTTTCTTGAATTCCAATGCCTACTTTTTGTAATTTCAGCATTTACGCATGTTCTGGGCTTGCTTTTCTTTTGTTTTTTCTCTCTCTACTGTGGTAGATGCCAATGGTGGGGAATCTGTCATGTGGCAGCACAAAGTTGACCGTTGAGGCTAAAAGAAAAAATTGGTTGGTGAGAGTAATTTAATGAATAATTGAATAACTTTTTTTTTTTTATGTAACNAAATCCGTTTTTCAGAAAAAAAAAAAACGAATTATTCGAATACGTTTACTGCTTAAAACGTATTACATTTATACGTTTTACTAAAAATAATTAATTAACATAATTAATGTAATTAAGTTAATTACATTACAAAAAAACGTGTTATTTTAATACGTTTTATAATTAAAATTAATTTTTTTAATTATAAAACGGATTAGATTTATACGTTTTTTAAAAAAATTAATTTTAAAATTATTAAAAATAAAATTTTAATTATAAAACGTATTTTTGTAATACGTTTTACAATTAAAACAGATTAAATATATACGTTTTTTAGAAAACGTATTTGTGAAATACATTTTATTTGTAATTTTTCCCCCCAAAATTCATTTTGCCCTAATTTTGACCTAATTCATAAAACGGATTCTATGAATCCGTTTTTCTCTGCAGAAAAATGCAAATTTTTTTTTTGAATCCATTTCACAACCTGTTCAACAAATCACAACCTGTTCAAGCAACTAATAATCGCCCAAAATAATCCAACATAAAGTATATCCAAAAACTCAACGACAATAATTAATTCAAAACAAAAATATGAGTATACAAAATGAAAAGAAAATTAACACAAATGTTCACAAAATTCCCTGAAAACAATACAAACTAATTCGGAGTGTATCGATTCGTAGGATTGCGTTGTCGTTGGCTGATCCAACGTTGTTCTTGTCGTGAAGAAGACGATGTTGTGGGCGTGACTGGTTCTTCTTCTTCTTGTTCTTCTTCACCTGAATAAATAATTTATTTAAAAATCACAATAACTAAATAAATAAAATAAATAAAATTATATTTTTGTGTTAAGTTAAAAATTTTCACCTTCTTCTTCTTCTTCCTGAGGCACGGGGTCGGCAGCGGGTTGGTGGTCTCGTCGTCTTCTACCTCCACCAATGTTAGGAGCAGGTCGATGCCTCGCCCGGTGTGACTGCGTCCTCTGGGATCGGACGTAGCTCTCCTGCGAGAGAACTTGGCTCGACGACGGCCCTTGTGCGACATCTCCGCCTCCGACAGTCATAGAACTGTAGAGAAGGCTCTTGGCCTGTAAGACTGCGGCCTGCACCTCNAAGGCTCTTGGCCTGTAAGACTGCGGCCTGCACCTCTGGAGGGAGTGTATGAAAGAGGTGGTCAACATTCGTTAACGTGTGATAAGCTCCCTCCATGGCGGTAGCCTGAAAATTAAATTCAAAGTCAATTAGAATGAAATGAAACACAAACAAAAAATATAAATAATAATAATAATAACAATAATAATAATAATAATAATAATAGAATAAAAAACAGAAATATATATTACTTACGTCGCACTTCCCCTGCTCGGCAAGTGGCGAAAGCCTCTGTCCGGTTGGGCCACCGCGTACTTGGCAGGGTCACCGACTAGTCTCACAGTGATACTGTGAAACCAATCAAGGTAACCCGCCTCAGGTTCAATGAATGACTCCACAGGGAATGTTGGGATAACATTTTCGGCTCTATGTTCGACCCAAGCATTCCCAAGCTCTTCGTGAAAGTCCACCCAGTCAAAAACTGCCCTCCCGGTCATTCCCTGGCCTTGATGGTGTCTCTGATATTCGGTCTCAGTCGGAATGATAGGAGGTTCGGGGATGAACTGCAGACAACCAAACTGACGGAGGACCCTATCAGGCATATGGACTTCACGGACGTTCCAGTTGAAGATCCACCCCCTATACATCCAGAGGTGTGAACCTTCTGTACACTGGGTCGTGAGAGCATTCCTTTGCAGGTGCCACTGATAGGGTAGCCATTCGAACTGAAAAATAAAAAATAAAAAAAAATAATTAGGAATTAAGTTATAAAAAAATTAAAACAAACAACAAATAAAAATAATAATAATAATCTTACATCCGTCTCAGTGAGCCCTGTCAGTTGATCCCGGGTGGTGGCTGTTCCCTTGCCCAGGTGTGTTGTGCTCCTCTTTCCCACCCACCTTAAAAATCACAGTACAAAAAAAATTGTAATCACAAAATTTAATAGTGGAAATAAAGTAAATATTAAATATAAATAAATTTCATTACCTTCCACCTAGGGGACAACCAGGGACTCTCTCAAAGTTCGTATCCCTCATTCTTGGGCGAATACGAGGGATACGTTCATATGCCCAAACCTACACATATCGACATATTCATTTGTTATTATATATTAGTCTAAATAAGAAAAAAAAATATGAATTTTAAAATAACAAGTAAATAAATTTACCTGAATCAGTTGGACACAGTTCTTGATCCAGTTTTCCCCGGACTTGGCGCTCGTGCAGAGCGCTCTATACACTCCGGCCAGGACCGCTGAACCCCAGCTGTACGTCTTGATCTTATTGAAGTCTTGCAAAAGCTGCAACCAGTAGAGGTTCACTCCATTGCCCCTCTGGTCGGGGAAGAAGAAGGAACTGATGCACCAGAGTATAAGGGCCTTCGCCCTCAACTCGTAGGTGAGGCCATGCTCTGTATCGGTTAGTTGTCGGTTGCACTCCTCTTATAACGCATAGGCCTTCAAATACTGGCCTGTAATGGCCCAAGTCTTGGGGTCTTGAACCGGTTTGTTGGCATCCTGAGAGTGGTTTATATATATATTAAAAATTTGTGAATGGAGTAAACATTAATAAATTAAAAAAAAATGTAATAAAAAATTTACCTGAACATAGGGCTCGAACCCTAGCTCATCATTACAAAATTCTTGCCATTCAAGGGGCGTTTTATCTTCAGTCGCTCCCCAACCAGGTTCTCCATCGATCGGGAGACCAAAAAGGACTTGTACGTCCTGCAGCGTGATGGTGGCCTCCTCGAAGTCAAATTGGAAGGTATGCGTTTCCGGTCGCCACCTTTCCACTAGACACGTGACGAGGCTGTTGTCGGTCATGACTCTGCCCATTCGAAACAACGGGCCAAACCCCGTCCTATCGATGGCATCCCAAACTCTGGGATGTTGGTGATCCAACCCCTTCCAGAACTGAGTGTCGAAACGGCGGGGTTTAATGATGCCGTCACGACATCCGCCTATATCTTCGAACAAATCACTCGACCAGTGGCAATATCGAAGATATAGAGCAGACGGATCCCTCGGACCGGGATGTACATTGTAGCGCTGCGGTTGTGATGACGACGATGATGCCATT